CCGGAGGTTCCTGTCTCGGCACCCAAAACGGCAAATCACTCTCCTCGAAACAAAAAAGCTCCGGGTAGGGCCAGGTCCGGTCATTGCGCGGAAACGGGCCGGGAACATCCGGAATGTAGATGCTGAGGCGGGACCATCCCTCGGAACGGCACCAGGGTCCCTGCTGTATGCGTCGCGGAGTGAGCGGGGCGTCGATGTTGAACTCGGGGGCTTCCTCCTCCCTGTTGGGGTCGCTGTGCACCAGCGGGGTGCCGAGCGGAATGTGAGCGGTGTCGGTCAAGGCCGGAGGGCGGGGTCTCGCAAAGGGCGGGGGGTCGGTGAGGGAGGCTTGCAAGGAATCGGCCGCGGCACGGTCAGGGAACCGCGGGCCGGAAGGGATCGGATCAAGCCTCCCCACCGTGCTGTCGGGGTATCTTCCAGGCGGAGGCGGACCGGCGCCGTCGGCCATTTGGGAGACCGGGAGCTCGATGTCAAGCTGGGCCAGGTTAGTGATGCCATAGAGCGTGTCTATGATCACCTCCGCAGTGATTCCGTAGAGGCGGGCGGTATGGCTGACGGGCAGGTCGGCGATGCATGTGTAGAGCTCATCGTCGGACAGGACCGTCAGCTGAAAAAGCACCTCCTCCGCCGTCAGGTTGCCTTGGGCTGCTGCCGGGGCGGGTGCTGTCTGGGCCGGAGGGGCGGCGGCGCTGGAGGAGGCAGCGGCTTGATTCTTGGGGACCGGGGCCGGGTAGGCAGGCGGGAAGCTCGATTTCTTCTTCGGCGGCCCGGAAGGCGGAACGGTTGGCGGGGCACTGCTGGCACCATGGGTTGTGGGCGGATGGCTAGGAGGGCTCTTGACCGGAACGGACGGCCCCAAGAACTGCGTGGTGTTGGGACCGACGGAGCGGCAGCTGGCTGGGCGGCATCCAGCTGGGCCGGAGCAGCCTGAAAATCACCGGGTGCGGCAGAAGCAGCGGGTGCGGTCTGGGCCGGTGCTGCATCAGCGGGCTGCACACCAGCAGCGGAGGCGGACCCAGTGCGGGCCGGGGTGCCGGCAATGCTGGCAACCACGCGGCCGGCAAGAGCGCGCAGAGGATGATCTCCACCAATGCGGGCCATGATAGCGGCAAAGGTAAAAGGAGGCAATGAGAATGCTGATCTCGAGGGCAGGAAGCGGCTGCGGAACAAAGCTGGCAGCAGACCATGACATGCAATCAGCCTGCAACTGCGCAAGAGACGGAAACAGTGGCAAAATGGCCTGCGGGACCACGACCGGAGGCAAAGCCGTAGGGTCGGGCCTGGGCCGGAGAAGCCACCGAAACAATAACGCGAGAAGCCTGAGCCACCGGCAGAGGGAGGCGGGCTTCTGCAGAGAACCTGGCCCGGCGGGGGCAGGTCAGACACCATCAAGCAAGACGGGGGCAGGCCTTCGAATGGAAGGGCTGCTGGGTCTCGCCGGACGATCAGAAGAGCTGCGGCGTCTCCTGTTAGAGTAGCAAATCCAAACGCAAGAAAGTCCAAACGGCCAGGCCTTGAACGGGCAGGGGCGGACGGACTAGAGCAGGATCTCCCTCGCCTGCGGCCTCGTCGCCTACGGCGACGGCGCGGGGACGAGGAGTCAGAGGTTTCAGGCATCAAGCCTTTACGACGGCCTAGAACTTCCAACTAGCGCACCGATCTGCGGACCGGGCACTTAAGTCGTAACGGCTGCGGGCACGACTTGCCGTTGCGAGTAAGCGGAAAAACACATTACGACCCGTCGAGAAACCATATGGTCGTTGTGTCATTCCTTTACCCCTCATAAAAACATATGAATATATGATGGGTTGGTCATAGCCCTATGATTGGTCATTCATGCCCCTCACGTGGAAAGGTCATTGCCTTCACTGCGCCAAGTCATTTGAGCCCTTGTTCTGAGCAGTGCCTGACATAGGCATCGCCTCCTCTTTCAAAAGGGGCAGTGGTGCTTATCTGGTCAAGAAACACACTTGTGCTGTGGACCTCGAAAATCCTTGTGCGATTGCTTCCTTTCAACAGTGCGAACAACAAACAAATTCAAAATGTTATCTTGAATGAAACACGGCAGGTCATCATCTACGAAAACGACCTCCTCTGGCTTTTAGGTTTTACTTTTAGGTTTTAGTGCTAGTGCGAAGAACCATCTCAAAAGATGGAGCGGCAGGAAGGCCTCCACGACAAGGCCACCGACCCTTTCATCCTGCGTTGCTAAAAAACGAGCGTACTGTTCTGTCTGTGACTCAGCGAGAACCGTCTGCCTGCAGGGAGGCCAGGTGAATGGCACAGGCAGACCCCAGGCCTTGCGCTCAGCGGCACAGGCCATCGGCCAAACTCCCTCCCGGGCCCCGGGCTGCGTCCATGCAAGATGAGCTGCAGACCATCGGCCTCCGGAAAGAGTGCTTCGCAGTGCCGCGTTTGTCCCCGCCCAGCAAGGCGCGCGCGCGCCGGGCCTGCAGGCCCGCCCCCTCCAGGATGGAGGGCAGCGCCTCCAACAAGTTACAGGGCGCTCTGCAGTGCGCTCCCCTGAGGCGACTTGGCCGCGACCTGCATGAACGCCTCGCAATCAGGGTAGAGGGACTTCAAGCCTCGGAAGCACACGAAAGGGCTGTGCTCTGAGACACCCAGAAAAAAGCTTGCGAGGGACCACATTGACATCTTGTTCTGCAGGAGACTTCAGAGATCTTATTCATCAACAGGTCGGTCCCAGTTCATTTCCAAGCCACTTCTCCGTTGAAGACTGCAATTAATAGCTTCCGTCTCCCGTGAAAAGTTGGATGTCTTCTCTTTTCTGGACTGATCTTTGGTGCGGGTGTCGTGGAGGTATGGCAGTGGAAGGCAGATGGGAAATGAAGGAGCAGAGGAGTAGCATCGCAGAAGAAATCGGTCCTCTTCCAGGTCCGGCATATCCCCCGACAAACTCTCGTGTAGGGAGGAGACCGGCGTCTGGGAATCCGAAGCTTCACTCCTTTCTCATCCGTCTAGCCCTTCCCCAACCCGCCATCCACGCAATCGAGACTGCGAGGTGCCAGTCACTACATCGACCAGGGTCTGAGGTCGGTACTTGGCTTGCCCTCACTCCAGGCGTAGCCGCGAAACTGCCAAGTCTAACTCGAAGCTAGTTGCTGCGCCCATTTGGAGGAACGACGTGTTGGAGTCTCCTAAAACGACAGCTACCGACAGGGTCGCACATAGAGATGAGCCGCAAGGGGTCACTGTATCGAAACGGGCGACACCTAGCAGATCGTCGAGGGCGCTGAAACATGCTGATGGCACCACCTGAACACGTCTCAGCCTACCCTCAAATTCAGACTTGAGGCGCCGGCCATTGTTCATTGTAGAGCGAAGTCAGATTCGTGGTTTGGCTGTTGTTATTAAGCAGGCGTGTTCTAGCAACGTTGATTGGATGAACTAAGCCCACAGCACCAACAGCTCCTTGCAAATCGAACCCGAAGTATCATCGCATGCACGGCCTGTTGACAGTAATTAGCCGAAAGTTGCTCGACCCCTCACTCCTCACTGCAATCATGTTAATTTATAGAAGAGGCCCAAAAGTTGGAAACCCAAGAGCCTCAATCCTTAAGAGTAATGTAAGAGGAATCCCAGCACTATTTGTCCTTAATCCGGTTTCCAGCTTTTGGGGGTAGACTGTATATGCCACAAACACCACATCCTTCCATCATGGGATATCATGGGCGAGAGGCGCCGAAACTGTTCGTCCCTGCCTCGGGACACAGGACCAAGGCAAACCCGCAGTCGAAGAAGTTCTTCACCTCCCCCTGCAGACCACAAGATTCCAAAACATCCTAGTTCACACGGCGACAGGTGTGTTCCGATGACGATGATAATCACGACACCGATGCGGCGACCGCTGGGGGCTTCTCAGGGACGCATCTTCCCAGCTATGGAATGCCTCCAGGTCCGTGCACAACTCGGCGTTGGCATGGAAGTAGCATAACACCAGGAGCCGGCCCTCCTCCAGAAACCCACCCAGCTGGATGCGACAAATGGCACCGAAGGGCCAGGGCGCCTGCGCTTGCTTGGCCTCCGCGTCGGCGCTTTTGTAGAGCCTCTCGTCAAATCATTCGACATGCCGGGATCCCGCAAACCCTCCTTCACCAACTCCCACCGCTTCAGACAGAAGCCTAAGCAGTCTCTCATGGGTCGGTTGCAGGGGCCTGTACGCAATTCGGGTACCGTCCTCTGCAACGAAGGTGCTGTCATGGTGGCGACCTGCAGCTCCATCCCACGAGCCACCGTCAGCCACCGTCTTCCCGCTTCGCAATGCAAGGGGCCGCACTGTTCTGGGAAGGCCTGCACTTCTGTGGGCGAAACGCCACACCGGCCACCAGCTCGCTTTCCTCAGTTGCGTTGTGGACTCCTTGGGCTAGCTAGCGTGTTCGGATTCAGGGTCTGCGCCCAGAGATTGCTGGCACGCATGGCGTCATGTCTGGTTCGGTTCCATGCTTGGTGTGCCGTGCTGAGGCTGAAACCCTTCAACGATGTGGGTGGTAGTGAAAAGGCACGATGCTGAAGAGATGTAGACACTATAGCACCGAGCTACACAATCATCTGCTCTGATGCCAGGCATTCAACATGCTTGAACATCGAAGGCTACAGAGCACGCAAGAAGCACCTTGACCGGTCAGCTCCTGTTGCTTGCGAGCGACCTTGCCATGGCCTGGACTGTGTGTGCTGTGTCTGGGTAGGAATCAGCTGCTTGAGAATTATCTCTGCTTACCCCACCCAATCTCACTATCAAAACTGTTAGCAACTTGATCCACAGTCTCTGGATCTGCTTTGGCTGTGCAATACGATACAGCATGAGCCAGCGTGAGTGATTTTGGTCTTCAGTTTCTGCCGTCTCCCTCGCGCTCACACCCGACTGGCAGTGCTCGTCCATCCACTCCTTGCCGTCAGTTTTCGAAGGCTCAAAGCCGGCGCCGCGGAGCGATGCGGAGCATCGCCATCTGAGTCGCCTGCCACCAGCTCCGAAGCTCGCTGCTTGCCCACCTCGCACCGCTTGGACGGATCTCCCGGCGGAATCGAAGGGACACAAACAAAGAGACAGACAGAAAAGTGAGAGACAGCAAGTCTCGGCAGCTAGACACTTTGGCTATATACGTGAACCAAGGAGAGCCGCGCGCTTTTATCAGAACGTGGGCGGCGCGCACCAAGAACTTCATCTCCAGGAACAGTGACACACATGTTACAGCAAACAGATCGGGTGAGAACGACAATGGCCTTGTCACTTGCGGCCCTGTGAGCCGGAGCTGTGATACTTCCTCCAACCTCCGTTCCAGAAGTACCACTCGCCCTTCCATTTGGACCACTGCGTGTTGGGATTCGGGCTGGAGGTCTGGCTCTGGCCCGCATTGCTGGAGGTGGGCCGGCCCAGTTCTCGGGCCAGCTCTTCCAGGCATGGCTTCATCCGGATGTCCATGGAACCGCCTAACAGCCCGTTCAAACAAGAGAGAAGGAGTTCACGACTAAAGGTGATGCCGGCATTGGTATAGACCTTCTTGACCTCCGCAACGCCGGCACCCTCTCGTTGGGCTTCTGGGGCCACGCGCGGTGGAATCGCACCTGTCGTTGCACGCGCTGCAACTCTGCTCTGTCGAGCGGCGACTTTCTGCTTCAATTCCGTCAGCTGCTGCTGGAGCGCCGACAGCTTCTCGTCTTGCACTGCCGTCGCCTGCTGCACTTCGAGAAGTCGAGCATGTTGCTCGTTCTGCTTCTGCACAATTGAGGTGAAGCCCTCCTTGAGGTCGTCAAAGGCTTTCCGGACCATGTCCACGGAGGTGTTACCCCCGTCCATGGCTCCAATCGCAACTATCCTTGAATTCAAGCTCTGCTCTGCTGGACCTTGTGTCGCGCTTGGGCAGAAAGACACACTCATGCCCGGAAGGAATCTCAGCGTCGGTGGACTGCTCTTCTTCTCAGCCTCCAACTACACTGCGATGCTTCATGACGGCAATCAAAAAGCCACATCGGCAGTATATCATCCTTCTCCTCCTACATCCTACTTAGTATGCAACTGCTCCTCGGTCGCCCCTGCAATCTCCCATCTGATGTTCAGCCCCAGATGAAGCATGGACTCGACACGAAATCGATCGAGGATCTGTTTATAGATGGGTATATATATATATACATACATACATATGTATGTATGTATGTATGTATGTATGTATGTATGTATAAGTGTCTCGGCCCGAAGTGGTTTCAATCTGAAGTTTTCCGCTGCCGAATGGGAGCACCGCGACAATGGTGCGGTCTCTGGCTTCCAGCCATAGCTCTGCTGATTCCTCTGACTCTTCTAGCTCCAGCGCAACAGAAGAGAACCCTGAGGCTAAAGCGCGAGCAATTCAGGCGAGAGTGGAGCGGCACCGACAGCGTCTGCAGTCTTGGTTCAGACGGCGTTTGGTCGCCAACTTGTGCGAAAGCGCAATGGAAGCCCAATGGGCCGCTGAAAGATACTCGACCAGACAAATTGCGGGCCGCCTCAGCGCTTTCAAGCGCAGATGCGAGGACAGGGATGCTGGCGACCTGGTGGACTTCACTGCACCCCAGCTGCTTCAACCGGCAGATGAGGACTTACGAAGGAATGCCGGTCTGGTCCTCCAGCTTTATGACGTCCCCATTCCAACTAACGACAATGACTGGATCCTTTCGGACCAGGTGGGCAGGGTCGAGGACCCGGGACGACAACCCATGGAGCAACAGCTGGAGTTGCTGCTCAACCGGAGTTTGGCACCCCGCCTCAGAACACCCTCTGCAAGGGCGTATATACGGCGTATCATCATCCAAG